TTTCGATGATCCCACTGAGGCACGATTTGCCTCTAATGCAGTTCAATGAACTATTTTCTGTTTGGCAACCTTTGATCTGACCGAAGTAAAAGCCGATCCTAATTGAGCCCATGGCACAAAACTAATGTGCATATACTATTTCAGTTGTTTTTTAATGATATAGAAAAAATATCTGTTTAAAACGAAAATTTCAATTTCTGAATGTTTTGACAGTTTTTCTTTTTTATGCTGGATGTAAAAAGTAAGCATTTTGTGAAATTTGATACACCCCCCAAAAAAAACAACGCCAAATCTCAATGATTTTCCGCAAAAAAAATAAAAGTCAGTAACTTTTTGCAAATTCAATTCTTCAAAAAAATTGTTAGTTTACTTTTATTGACAACAAAACTGCCAATACCACTTCTACTCGTCTATTTGTCATCTTGTAGATGATTTTAGGCAAAATTACTAGTTTCGATTGACTTTAAATATTTTCATGCTGCATAAAAAAGAAGTGTTGTCAAAAGCGATTCCAAACGTACGTTGCATTTTAAACGGATCTGTTTTCTATACGATTAAAAAACGATTGAAATAAGATATTCTTACTAATTTCGTGTCAGGTCTCAGTGAGGCTCAATGTTTACTTCGACCGAATAAACGATTACCAAACAGTTTTTTGAAATGGATATCCAGCCAAGTAAAAATTGTGTCTCAGTGGAATCATCGTAAAAAAATTATGAGTTTCTCGTTTTTTACTTTTTAAATACTCGGTTACAAAAAATTGGGTCAACAATCATTTTATTGATTGATTTGAGATTTCATTTAATTTCACCCGACAAAGGATAAAATTATTTATCCAGAGACTAGCTCAAAATCTTTATAATTGTCGGCAAGCCTAGTTCGAATGCTCACTACTACGATCTTTAAATATTTCTTTCTTTCAGAAAGTTTTTATCACAAAACACAACAAAAAGAACTCAACACGTTTTGATGAGAGTATTGATACTGCATAAAGGCTTCAAAGGCTTAAGTTGTTGAACTTAAAGGAAAAAAAGGTGACAAAATCAAATATTTAAAAAAAACTTTAAAAAATTTGTCAAAAACTAAATTGATCGGCAATAGAAAATGCCCGTAACCAGCGGACTTTCTATACAAGATTTGAAGTTTTTTGTTTTTTAATTATGTTGATTATCAGATCTGATATTCGTTGTTCTAGAGCTTGATAAGAATTTGAAAATTTCAGATCTGAAATTTGGAAAAACAACAAATTTTGATATCTGAGTTAATAGTGAAAAACAAAAATTGAAATCTGAAATTAAATCTGAGAAACCCTTTATTAAATTATTATATATGCATTTCGAGCAAATAATTTTTTATCATTTTTACTACTTGTGCAATACTCAATTATATTTAATTTTAAAAACTTGGGTAAAACTAGCGGTAAAAAAATTCAAAATAATTAAACAAAGAGTTTTTGTAAACAAAACTTGTTGTTCAAATATTTTAAACAGTTTTCAAAAGTTTTTAGAAGAACTATCAAATTTTTGTTCTTCATGCGCTACTTATGCGTTTCCGATGTTTATTCATGTTTTGGGAAACTTAATTATGCAGTCTACGAATGGAGACTTTGCTGAGTACCTGCTAGTAATTAGCAGCAACTATGAAACACAGAAGAATAGCGAAAAATATGTCAGAATCATTCAGTTCTTAGATCTGGAGTAACCAAGAAAAAGGAAATTCTAGATCTGAAATTAGATCAGAATTAGAGTTTTTCAGATCTGAAATAATCAAGAAAAACTAATTTTCAGATCTGAAATCAGACATGAAATAAGCCATTCTTAAAGTATCCAATTGTTATTTTAGCATTTTACAACCTACTTCAGATCTGAAATTTAGATCTGAAGCAGACTTTTCAGATCAAAATTAGAACATTTAGTGGGTACGGGTGACTAATGTATCAATAAAAAGTAAGTGTTCGATCAAATCATGGAAAAATTTTTGGACCACCGCTGAGTACAGATGGAAAAGGTACCGATAAGTAGATTTCGCACACTAAGAAAGTTTTTCCTAAAATTCAGCAGCCAAACACAATTTAAAATTGTAGCGACTTGGACTCCAAAAGAAAGTATTAAAAATGCTGATCTTTTGGAGGTCAATTCCAGATATTTTTCTGTACGAAATGTTATTGTCTGAGTCAATTAACCAAATAATAAGAAAAAAGGGTTTTCAGCAGAAGTTTTTCTTACCTTGTATCATGATTCAAGCACGGACCTAATAAGTTTTTCTTAATTCGAATATTATTGCAACAAAATCTTGCATTAAGATACGAAAGTGCGCACTTGACTATTTCATTTAGGTTTGTAGAGACAAGCTAATTGATTTCAATGAGCTTCACATAAGCGTAAAACAGAAACACTTATTTTTGACGCAAACAACACGATGATAATTAGTTTTGGCATCTGCTACGAAAAATAATTAATAAGATGCATTCACAACGCTTAAAAAATTCATATCTCCATGTTTGATCATTTTTTTTCGCTTTTAGATTGAGTATTTTGTAAATTGACGATCTTTTTGTAGGTCATTTTTTGTAGTTTGAAAGCTACTCGTTGCTGAATATTTTGACAGATGTGAAATTATCCTTGAGGTTTTTGCATTTGATAATTTTTTAAAATTCAAATTTTTAGATATAATTAGCTTATAGATTAAATTACACCTCTGCGTTGAAACACAGGTCAGATAGATAAAAAATAGATGAACGACCCTAAAGAAAATATTATCAAGAATTCGATTGACACAAACACGAGGCAGTACTATTTCATGTTTCGCTTAAATGTTTGATTTTTTTTGAATTTTTCGGAACGAATTTTTTTTCATGCTTACCACTACTTAGTCAGCTTCTGAAAAGTAACCTTCTCACAATAAGGTTGATCAAACGCCAGGTCTCAGGTTATTCATGCAAATAATGGGGAAAAAATTAGATTTAGAAAAAAAATCTAAATTTAACTTCAAAAGCTCCCCATTTTCTGGTAATAAAGCAGCAGCCAAATAACAGTAGAGAGTTTAGGTTTTAAAAAAAAATGAATCAAGAAACTTCAATTTTTACTTCAGTTCTATGAATGTGCATTTTCTAGAAGGGGGCTAATATTGCAGGACAAGCAGACTACAAGAAAATTTGAATAAAAATTGGATCATGGAACGGCACAAATTGTTTTAAGCGTGAGAAACTTATGCAGGGGGTAGCGTTGGTCGAAGTCATTAAATGTCGTGGTGTAGCCAAATACTACCTAGGGACGATCAAGATTCGTTCAAACCATCAATTTTTGGGGCTGTTGCTGATCTTCTGCAGTGTTCAAGAATTGCATTGCATAAATCTTTCTGTCTCAACTGCAATGTAGCTTCCCAATCTTCTTACTGTTCCTAACACTGAAAATGGGGAGAAGCTTTTTATTCGGGGGTGTTTTAGTTTTTTCAACTTTTTGTTTTCCACGCTAAATCAGGTACAAAATATAATAATCGGAAATGGTCGAGTGGTATCTCATACAGAAGCCCTTTCAGTCGTAATTCGAACAACATCAAAAACAATATGGAAAAAAACTCAGGGTTCAGAAAAACCGGATTGAAATATTTGGTCGAGCTTATAAAGTGAACATTAAGGCTCAAATAAAGCTGTGAAAAATAGTTTCACACAATTATAGTTAGTTTCTGGAGTTTTTAGCGCTATTTTTCAATTTTTTCTTTAGTTTTTTTTCTCTGAAAACTGTTTTCCATTGAACCTACTTTACTATGAATGTAGAATATGCTTTTTGGTTCAGAATATGCATTTCCGTTTTTTCGTACTATTTTTTTGTTCAGATCTTTTTATCACAACACGCAGAAAAAGAAACGACGTCAAAGTAGAGACCTTGTTGTACTTTGGTTCAATTTTGAAAATTATATATATTTCATTCAAATTGGTCTCAAAACTTTGTGATTCAAATTGGTCTGCAAAAGTCTAAAATAACTCAAAATATTTATGTCCTGAAATTACATTACCATAACTTTTACACTTTTACAGGGGTTTTGAGGGTTAACAATTTGGCAATTTTATACTAAGAGCGGCCCTCTTTTTTCGTTTTCGATCCAATTTTCGGTGAGTCTGACGAAGTATTAATGCTCCAGATAATTTTTGACATTTTGACTTGCATTTTTTGACTGAATTTTTTCTTGGGTCAAGAAAAAATTGATAAATTGGGCTCAAAACCGAAAATTTTTAAAGATTATATGCATGATGCTGAAACCGATACACGAGTTTTTATCGCGAACAAAAAGTTTTTCCGAATTGAAAACAAAATAACTGGTCATTAGATTTCAGTACACGACTCAAAGGTTAACGCTTAATATTCAATTTTGAATGTCCAAATATCATAGTTGATCAAAATTGTCTTCATAAAAAAATGGGCGATTTTCCAAATTAAGGGAAGCTAAAGGTATAATTATGTAATACGTTCTCGCAAACATCAATCTATTTAAAAGCTACTGTTTGAACTTTTGCCAATTTTACTTTTCGGTTACCTAATCCTTCGCCTTAATAGATGACGGAAAAAAGCTGTGCGTACTTAATTGAAGTATAACCTGTCATTTTTAAAACGCCCATGACCTGATGAAAAACGATCTTAGGTTTAAAATTTTTGTTATTTTGAACTCATACATTCATAGAAAGTTTGAAGAAAATTTTAACCTGATGCATACAAAAAGTTCTGTCAAAAATTTAAATTTGAACAGGAAAATTTGAAAATCATAGCTGATTTTAACCTGATGCATACAAAAAGTTCTGTCAAAAATTTAAATTTGAACAGGAAAATTTGAAAATCATAGCTAACCCAACTATTCTTTGCTCGATTCCACAAAACTAACCTGGCAACTTCAATTCAATGTGAATAAAAGGACAATACGGCACGGTTTGAAATGGATCAAATGAAGAGTTTTCAATTTTCATCAATCTCCAGTAAAAAGAAAGGTCTTTATTCTGCAAAGCTTACCTTTAGATGAGTGTGATGTGGTGGAGTTTGATCTGATTTAGCGATTATTAAAACTGTCAGTTTTGGTATATGTTTTGTTTGGATTGTGGATTGAAAATGGTCTGAATAATTAAGGCGAATTTCAGGCTGATGGTCCAAAAGAGATGACTGAGCTGAGCTCACTTTCACATTCTCAGATCGAAATCAATTCATCAGTTGGCTTTGTTGAGTTATAAACGAACTATAATTGGGGGAAAGATTTGAGGAAAGGAAGTTATTAGAATCAAATCGATTCCCAATTGATAACAAACAACACAAGCATCTACGGAATTGCGAGAGAGAGAGAGAGAGAGCGAGAGAGAAGGGAGCAAAAATAGGCGAAGCAAGGGGGATATACGGATATATTAAGGGGGAGAGTTTATATTGAAATGGAAAAATAAATGAGCCCGGGCGAAAAAGCGCCTTCTGTTAATAGATTTTGCCTTTCATTATTACTTCATTACGAATGCCTGCATTATTGTAAATTCATTTGTGCTACTAGCACCGGTGTATACTCAAATCTGTCCCCATGTAAATATGTATAGTCAATGGGTGCATTAGAGGGGTAGGGGTGGGTAATGGGGGTTGTGTTAGAGGGGGGGGGGTTAATTTGGGTGATTTGTAAATTGAATTTATTCGTTGCGCTGGAAGCAATTAAAAGATAAAACAAACGAAGGGAGAGGAAAATGGAAAACGGAGGGCAAAATAGAACAAGGAAAACAAATGGGCCGAAGGAATAGATGCAGTAGCACGCGCTTAGAATACTAAATGACCAGATAATGAAATGAGACGATGATAATAAAACCAACTAATACAACACAAAAATACTACTAAAGAATGAAAAATGAAGAAAAAACAAAAAAAAATAAAAAAACAACTACTTAGCTTGTAGCCATTTATTAACGAGCTTACAAATATTTCGTTTGGAGAATACATCAAAAAACTAACCATATAATAAGCATTACTAACTAAGCACTAACTAGTTTCTAATTTACTTGAGCTGAGCTCGAATATACAAGGGTCTAATCAATTTGTATACTTCTATGGAAAAATGATTTCTTCATTTGATTAGGAGAGGAAATACGAAAAAAGGACAGTACATTTGTATCGTAAATGGCAGATAGCATAATTCTTATCTTATTAAAGATGTCATTATTGAATTAAAAACTAGCAGGTAAAATAGTGGGAGGGCAGATCTTATCTACTTATAATAAAAGGCAACCTAATTAGGATATCAAGTTGGCCCCTATGATAAGTAGCAAGCTGAGCTATTGATTGAATTATACAAAGCTAATCAATATTTTACAAAAAAATCCATAAATCATGTGTGAGTAAAAAAAACAATCATCGCAGCATACAAATAAAATTACTGTTCCCATGAACCAAAGAAAGAAACGCTAAAAATTACTACTGAGCGCATTCAAAAAAAAATTTCGAGCTTGAGCTCGCTCGATGGCGACTCATTGGGTTTTTGAACCACTCCATTAGTAGTTTGGATTTTTTTGCAAATGGTTCAATTTTATACTAGAAAATATTACTTTGAGTTTTCATCATTTCGGAAGACAGTAAAACCGAACAGGGATACCGGCTGCTGAACAAGTACTGCAAAAAAAATTAACCAAAATAATTTTTTTAAATTTTTTATTTTCGCGGTGGGAATGGGAGGATTTGAACGAAAGCTCAGAACAATATTTTTCTGAAAAATGAGTGAAACATTTTTAAAAAAGGTTCAGAAAATTGCCGCCAAAATTTTTTTTTGATTTAACAAAAAATTTGAACAGAAACAATATATCATTACGAGGCCAAATTGTGCACTAAATAGGCGCACAATTTCGTGTCTGTATGTTCCTGGATTACATAGACAAACCTTTAAAGATGTTCCAAAAAGTAAGTGGATTCCACTTACTAAACTTCCGTCGATTCCGCGTACAAATACCTGTAACGTAAATTTTGTCGGCACATTTGCTGTGCCGAGGGTTGCGCAACAAGCGAATATGGCTAGTTGTCTTAGATTCCGCAACTCTTGATGGATTCCACAAAACGTAAGTGAAATCAGCATGTGTAAGCGGATTCCGCAAACTAAGTGAATTCAGATTTTTATTTATTACTTAAGTTGCATATGAACAATTCAAAACTAGAGCCAATTCGGAAATTAAAGGCAAGGACTTAAACATTGTCAGCGGAATCCACGAACAAATCTCAAAAACATTTTTTAAAAAAGTCGGTGGATGTCACCTTTTAGTATTTTGGAAACACAACACCGAATAAAAAATTCAATATTTGAAGTCATTGGGTTCAGAGAGTATGGAAACAAAACACACAGCATATCGCCAATTTAGGTCAGTATTTGGGGTTGCATAAATCCTGAATTTTGGTCAGCATTTGGGATTTCATCAATCCCAGATAATAATGGTATAGTAGATTCCGATTCTAGTGAATTGAGATCGAAGTTGACAGGAATTGAGACCAAACGTTCGGTATTTCAACTGGTAGTTGATCAATGTAGTAATTGAGATTGATTTTTCTGGTGACCATCTAGTAAATGCGGATTCCACTTGCTAAACTTCCGTCGATTCCGTTTGTGGATTCCAGTTACAGTCGCGGAGTCCGTAACAGCTCAATTTAATTACACAAATGTCTTATTATTTGTTAGTGGATTCCACAAACTGTTCTCGGTTCCTCAAACGCAGTTGCGGATTCCGCAAAATTGCCTGTTTTTGGAGCAATTTTGAGCGGTATAGTGTTTTAGGTATTCGTTTGAGGAATCCAAAACAAAGAAGAAGATCAAAAAAAAGTAGCAAAGTTGCGGATTCCGCAATAAATCTGGTTTTGACTTGTTGCGGAATCCGCTTACAATGCACAGAAGGCACAGTTTGGCCTCGTAATGACACAAAACTATCTTTAGTGGAATAAAACTTGAATTTCACGGCATAATTCGAATTTCAAAAAATTGGCGTTTATTAGCCTATAATAACACTTGATGGCATGCTTCGCTAGAAATTGGACTAAAACTGAAAACCTTCCAACCTCGACAACGGAATTTTTTTCGCCTCGACAACGGAATTTTTTGAAAATCAAAAAATTGTTCAAATCACGAGTGAAGGGGCTTTATTATTGTATATCACTCCAAGGAGTGTAAGTAAGATTTTTTTTGAATTTGACTTTGCGTGGAAAACAAAAAATTGAAAGACATTCGAAGTCCCTCCCTGTTTTCAATGGTCGGAACAATAAATAGTGTACGTTTTTATTGTCTTGAACGATTTTATTGAACGCAAAATCACTAAATCACAATTTAGAGAAAGTGGCCCGTTCCTGAAACAAATTTTCTCGTTTGAAGTAGGAGCGACAAAAACAAGATAATTGGTATATATCATGTATTGGTTGCAACAGCAGAAGGTATTCACCGTTTTGACACTATTTTGCGACATTACTTTTTGGAACATCTTCGTTGCCAAAAAACTAAATTTGTGGGGATCACTTCAAAAGTTTTTAAGAATTGCTAGAAAATGTAATTCTTGATCTACTGATTCAAAATTATGGCGAAACAGGATCTTCATAAAAAGTTAGAATATTTCAAAAAATCAATTTTGTAGACCTAAACACAAATGGTGGACATAATTTGCTTAGTTAAACTAAAATTTTCCAAAGATTATTAAATTTTTGATGCCTTGGAAAAATATCAAACCTAATTATATCAAAATAAATTTATTTTGATTTTCTTTGCTTTCGTTCGTTTTCTTTCTTTTTCATCACAACAACTTCACAAAAACAACAAACTTGAGAAAAGAGGAAAATTTGTAATAATCGCAAATTTTTTTTAATCTGCTCAGAATTTTACAGCTAAAGGCACAGCAACCTGCTAATCTTGATACGTGTTTTTTAATTGAAAAGAATTTGAAAATTATGTGGCGGTAGAAAATTTTTTGAAGCACAAAAAAGAGGGTTTATTAGCGATTTCTGTATTGAATCGTCACGTTTATTCTTAAAGGACAAAAAACTGGCTGTTATGCATTAGCACAAAATACTTGGTTTTTGTGATTAAAAATATTTTACAGAAGTCGAATGATTTTTCTTTAGTTTTATCATTTTCCTCTAAGCTTTCAGAATGTTGCTGGAAGTTAAGAGGAAAATATTTTGAGAAATTAAAAAAAAACATTAGTTTTTGGTAAAATTTCAACTTTTTTTGAAACACTGCTACTACAACTTTAAAACTATAGTAAGGAGGTCAGCTTGTCAGTTTTGGTGTCTACTAAAAAAACTGAAAGCCGAATTTTTTTAGACTAAAACTGATACAAATCTTGATTTTTTTTAATAATAATTAGGGCTGAAAAAATTTTAATATGATCTGACTTTGATAAGCTAAAATATCTTCTTAAATTATTCAAATCAGGGTAAAAAAACATAAAGATTCAATGGCTTATTCGGGAGTGTTTCGATTCGCGATTGGAACAAAAGCAAAAAGACTTCAACAGGTTTTTGCTAAATACATAGACATAATCCTTTCATGTTTACAGTGCTAGTGACACACTCCTCTATACTCCAACAAGACTGCTCGTATCAGTGCGAAATGTTGAATGTTCCGCTGCCTTTTAAGGTCTATGGAGCAGAAGTAACATGAACAAATAAAAAGTTTCTAAAAAATTAAAAAGAAAAAAACTTGAAAATTTGAAACTTTTCTGTGAAAGTCATCCATTCACAAGCCACATAAAGTACAAAGTGAGAGATTTCGCTCCTAGTAACAAAATGATTAAGGCAAATACGCTTTCTCCAACCAATTTCGAATGATTTTTAAGACGGATTAAATCTGCGCTTATGCGTTAAAAGCGCGAGATACATCGCGTGTTAATTGTCCCAAATTGGCCAAAATTATTATCTTTAAACCCCCATAACTTGACGAGAAAAAAACAGGTGAAAATCAAATATAAACTTTTATTCTATGTTTATATAAATATGCTTATATTTATATTCTATGGAGCAGTAAAAACATGAAAAGATTCAATTTAACAAAATTAAACGCATTTTTTTTAATATGAGATTTTTGTGAAATTCATCCCTCCACATGCCACATTAAGTACAAAATGATAAGTTTCGCTCCTAGTAACAAATCAATTAAGGCAAACATGCTTCGTTTGACCAATTCGGAACGACTTCCAAGACGGATTAAATCTCTGCTTACGCATTAATAGCGCGAAATATATCGCGAGTTAATTGTCACAAATTGGCCAAAATGACAATTTTTAAACCCAATAACTTAATGGAAAACGATCACAGGTAAAATATACTTCCATTTAACCTCAGCATAACAATAAGTTTTGAAGATTAATAAAAGTTTCGTCAAAAATGGCTAGTTAAAAACTCGAAATTCGTCTGAAGAAAAAAACCACCCCGAGCACAAACATTCCGTCACTTTCGTTACAAAAGGCGGAACAAAAACAATTCTTTCATCGAAGTTCCTAATAGTTATTTTACCTAGTTCGTTTTCCTTGTGGGATAAAAACTGAGATAAATTACGGGGCAGCC